AAAAATGGTTAGAAGAAATATTAACAACAGAGGTAGAACTAAAACCAGAACTCTTCCTACTTGGTATTACTATACAAAAATATGATAAAGGGACACTCTACCTAATGCTACACATCTTCACGGCCGCCAGACTGACCTATGCACAAAATTGGAGAAACAAAGAAATTCCTACTGAAGAAGAGATTCTACAAAAAATTTTATCATGTGCGGACATGGACAGGCTAACTATGGAACTAAAGGACAAGACGGAAACGGACTATTTTGGAATCTGGGACAAATTTTACTGCTGGTATGAGTCAAGAAGAACTGTTCGGGTTTTGAATTAAAGTTTAAGTTTGTGGTATATAAAAGTATATGTTAATATGTAGAGAAATAAGCTTGAGATTGTATTATATAGGGGAATATATGTATATATTTATATAGAGAGATGTATATGTAGAACTTTAAATAAGATAAGGAACGAATTATTAGGAGTATGTATACTGGAACGTCATGTCATGTCCTTTTTTGTTTTAATTGTTTATTAATAAAAAAAAATTTTTAAAAAAAGAGTACATGAGCACAATGCTGACAGGAGCAACTCAAAACCATGTTACGTTTCCTCTCACCTTCTCCGAGGATGAGTCCTCAGAGGCCTCCTCTCCTTCACTGTCCAGGCAAAAAAGTTTGCGCCGCTTTCCTGGACCTTTGATCCTTTCGTCGTCCCTCTTGGAGGTCTTGGGGATCTGTAAGGATTTCTTATCTGCAGAGTGGAACAGAGAGGGAAAATGAAGGAAGAAGGAAGAGACACCAAGGAACTGCCATCTCCATTTCCTGCTGCAGCCAAGGGGCACCACACCTATTCAGACTGTAAAGCAGAGAGCAGGGACAGCCCGGTTTTTATTCAGATCATGGGAGCTTTCCTGGCTAAAGCAAAGGATACCGATGCTTTGTAAGAAAATACTGGATCCAGTTTTGGTCACCACGATGTAAAAAAAATGCTGAGACTCTAGAAAGAGTGCAGAGAAGAGCAACAAAGATGATTAGGGGACTGGAGGCTAAAGCATATAAAAAACGGCTGCTGGAATTGGGTATGACTAGTTTAATGAAGAGAAGGACGAGGGGGGACATGATAGCAATGTTCCAATATCTCAGGGGTTGCCCCAAAGAAGAGGGAGTCAAGCTATTCTCTAAGGCGCCTGAAGGCAGGACAAGAAGCAACGGGTGGAAACTAATCAAGGAGAGAAGCAACCTAGAACTAAGGAGAAACTTCCTGACAGTTAGAACAATTAACCAGTGGAACAACCTGCCTCCAGAAGCGGTGAATGCTCCAACACTGGAAGTTTTTAAGAAGAGACTGGACAGCCATCTGTCCGAAATGGTGTAGGGCAGTGATGGCAAACCTTTTAGAGACCGAGTGCCCAAACTGCAACTCCAAACCCACTTATGCATCGTCGGGTGCCGGGTGGGTGTGGCCCATTGGGTGGGCGTGGCTGCGGTGGTAACAGCAAACTGGGTGGGACTAAAAAGTTCAATCAATCAATTCCAACTTTGCAAGATCTTTTTTTTTCCCACAAGAAGTTGAAATTGACTGATTGATTGAACCTTTTTTTTTGTACACGGTGGCGGAAGCCTAAAGCAAAAAGGTTTTATAAAACCCAGCTGAAGGCCTAAGACTGGGGTGACGGCGCGCGTGCCCACAGAGAGGGCTCTGAGTGCTGCCTCTGGCACCCGTATCATAGGTTTGCCACCACTGGTGTAGGGTTTCCTGCCTGAGCAGGGGGTTGGACTCGATGACCTCCAAGGCCCCTTCCAACTTTTTATTATTATTATTATTATTATTATTATTATTATTATTTATTATTATTATTATTACTACTACTACTACTACTACTACTACTACTACTACTACTACTACTACTACTATTATTATGGATCATCACACAGTCAGCCAGATGTTCAGACTGGATTTGGCATTTTGTCTACCTATCGAGTCCTTACCAAGGACCTGGGATAGGCAGATGTGGATGTTTGATGGTATTACAGATATCGTCGCAGGATGGAAGCAGTTCCTAGTAAGGCCGCCTTTTGCAATTGACTAATGGCGAATTTGTCAATGCCAATGGTGATCAAGTGGTGCTCCAGTTGTTTTGGGATTGCACCCAAGGCGCCTATTACTATTGGTACTACCCTTGCCTGCTTTTGCCACAGTCTTTCTATTTCTATTTGTAGGTCTTTGTATTTTGTGATCTTCTCCAGTTCTTTCTCCTCTATTCTGCTGTCTCCAGGCACTGCCACGTCCACTATCCAGACTTTTTTGTCTTTCTTATCGACAATTGTTAAGTCCGGGGTGTTATGTTGCATGTGCTTGTCTGTTTGAATTCTGAAGTCCCAGAGCAGTTTAATTTTTATCATTTTCTAGGACTTTCTCTATTTTATGATCCCACCAGTTCTTGCTTACAGGCAAATGATATTTCTTGCATCATGTGCCATAGGTTCGCCACCACTGGTGTAGGGTTTCCTGCCTGAGCAGGGGGTTGGACTCGATGACCTCCAAGGTCCCTTCCAACTTTAGTATTATTATTATTGTTGTTGTTGTTATTATTATTATAAAAAAATTCATCCTTTTGCTGAAGGTTTAAGTGTATAAACGACGATCTGGAGGTGAGACAACGTACCTTCCTCATCCTCTTCCGCGGGAGTAGAGGGGCGGGGCTGCTTCACTTCGCTGCACTCGGAGATTTCAGAGGGCTCTTTCCTTTTCACCTGTGGGAAAAGGAAACAGTGGGTTTCCCCAAGTAGAGCACCACGTTTCAGAAATGCAGGCAAACTAAACCTGCCCCCCTTAAGAAACAGGACTTCCACTCTCTACACGCAGGGGTAGTCAGCCTTGGCTCTTTTATGACTCGTGGACTTCAACTCCCAGAATTCCTGAGCCAGCCATGCTGAGGAGAAATGGAGAGTTTCCAAACTGAGCCATGCTGGCTCAGGAATTCTGGGAGTTGAAGTCCACGAGTCATAAAAGAGCCAAGGTTGACTACCCCTGTGTGTACAGCTTCCTGAACAGGCTTCCAGCCCCCGAGGAGACCCTGGGCCTTTTACCTTGAAGGAGGGGAGCCTGAGGACTCCCCGAAAGCCAGTCCCAAAGCCAAAGCTCTCCAAGCCACCGGTCCCACCACTCTTGGCCCAGTCCACTAGAGACAGGAGGGCAGGATCTTTCAGTTTGGTTTTCTCTTTCTCCTCTTCCTTGGCTTGCTGTTTAACCGTGTTCTGGAAAGGCTAAAGACAACAAGATGGCAGCATTAGTGGGAATGATTAGGGGCAGGAGTGGAAGGAAGCAGCATTCTGGGTGTGGGGAAGACAGGAGTGTATACAACCGAAGAGTCTTCCGAAGTAGCAAGCCGGCCTACAGAACTACAGTTTCTTTTTTTTTTTTTTTATAGTCTTGAGAACTATTTTTATTAATGTCGCTCCAAGATCATGAAATAGCTCTCTTCTAATAAAGGCTGGTGTTCAGTTTCTCTGTACTGTTGCCTACCTTTATTTTCAAACTATCCTGCAGCTCACAATCATCCTCACCTACTGGGGCGTATGGGCTGCTTTGGTGCAATAAAGCATAACTGTT